CAGTTTTCGACTGATTTCGAAAACTTTCAGTGAAATAATAAATTTATTTTATTGGAGAATGGAATTTTCTGCTCAATAACCCTCGATCTTTTTGTACGTATCCTCCAAAAAGTACAGAAAAGATTGAAGTTTTATTGAGCGTTCTTTCATTTATCTGCGAAGGTTTTTGACTTCGTCACCCATATAACTGACACTTGGCCATTTTTCCTGGTAACTAAATTATCTCACTCGAGAAAACTTGAGGAATTATTTTTTTAAAATATCATTTAACCCTTTAGAGCCAGAGGATCTTAAAGTGTGTACATGAGCGTATAGTGGGGAGCGCGCGAATCACAGCGCGCCGTGTGCTTGTGTGAGTGAAATGCGAGAGTAGTAGAGAATGCGTGCGCCCCCCTCTACCGTATTTTCTGCCCTTTCTCTATGTAATAGAGTACAGTTCTCTCACTTCAAAAGGAAGATGCACGATTCGACAATTCGATCTAAGAGTAGGATTTCAAGGCCAGCCTCTAAAGGGTTAAGTCTCTTTATCTGTCATCGTTGACATTGGATTGGTTCTCTGCTTATCTTCGTGGGCTTATCGTCAGCAGGCTGTTCGGAAGTATCAACCAGAACAATGCAAAAAACCTATGTCAAAACCTTTACATAGCTGGGAATGCCGTCTAAACCGTGGCAAAATGTACACGCTGACTTTGCAGGCCCATTTTTAAATTCAATGTGGCTCATTGTTGTCGATGCTCACTCTATGTGGTCTGAAGTAATTCGCATGAAGAAAACGACATCTGAAATTACAATCAAAAGCCTGAGAAGTCTGTTTGTTAGATTGGTCCACAATGGAATTCTCAGGAATTTAAACAACAATAATATGAGACATATTTGTACAGCGCCTTACACTCCTGCCAGTAATGGCTAAGCTGAACGTTCTGTTCAGTCTTTTAAAAAGGCAATATTATCAAGTAAGTTTGATGATAAAACTGTAGATCAATGTTTCCACAGGCAAAGCACCATGTAAACTAATGTTGGGTAGAAAAATGAGGACTAAATTAAGTTTGATTAAACAATCTGTTATTTTACCTAAACAAAATGTAAATTCTAATACAATTAAGCAATTTTTGCCTAGGGATACAATACAAGTTGTTATGTTTGATGGTGCATCTAAATTGAAAGAGGGAACAGTTGTGGGACCTACAGGCAATATTATGTATTAAGTAGAGACAGACAGAGGAAAGGTAATAAGAAATGTCACCCAAATGTTTCCAACTAGAAAGGAACCAGATTTCGGTAACCGTTTACTCAACACCACTACTTCTGGCAATGAAAAGAATAATAATGCAGAGTCAGTGTCCATAAATTTTAATAAGGATAATACATCTGTGATTGAAAATATTAATGATAAAGATACTGATGTGGTAATCACAGATGTAAGTAGTAATGTAACAAAAGATATTGTTACATTACTACTTACTATTTCAGATTAATTTCACCGTATTTTAAAGCCATCATACTTAATGAAAAATAATAAAAAATCAATTTTAACCCTTAAGCGCATGGGGTCAGGGATATTTAAAATTGAAAAAAAAAAGGTTTACAGTGCGCAGAGCGCGCTCACGCTCTTTCTAGCTTCCTCGCTCCCCGCGGCGTACGCAAATTAGTCGCGTCCAGAACATCAACGCGTGCGCACGTATCACTGCTGTCTAGAGCGCCGACCCCATGCGACCAATTGCGTTCCATTTTTTGGCGGAGGTAAGTTTTTATTTTTGCGTTTTCTTTTAGTTTATATTAGTATTTTCTTTGCATGTGTGTATTTTTATTTGTGTGAAGGTATGATTGCTTTATGTATTTTTGTGTTTTCTTTTCTTCCTTTTTTCAGTTTTTTATTCATTTGAAATGCCTAATGACACACAAATATTGCAATGGCTGGATGAAGTGTGTGATGAAGAGCAAGATGTTGCTGGTTTGGATTCGGAAGACGAAACGGTAAACGATATCGCAATTGATAGTGCTTAAAATTCAGAAAGCGAAATTGAAGAGTCCGAAGATATCCAAAACATCCCTGAACCATCGGAAGGTGATTACTTTTTATCCAGACATACTCAGAGAAATGGTCTGAAAGTGAAATGATGTAAAGTACCACCATCGAATGCAGTAAGAACCCGAGCACACAATATTATTTTGCATTTACCGAGAGTCAAAGAGTATGCAAGAAACGCCAAATGTCCTCTTGAATGCTTTCAGTTGTTCTTTGATAATGAAGTTATTGAACTTTTGGTCACAAATACTAATTTATATATTGATAAAATCAAGGAAAAGTTCGGAAGAGACTACATACCGATGATACAGAAATGAATGCATTTTCGGGCTTACTGATTATGGCATGAGTCCTAAAAGGGTCGCATTTGCATTATATTGACTTATGGGCACAAGATGGAACAGGCGTAGAAATGTTTAATGTTAGAAATGTCTGCGGTTTGATAATACGTCAGACCGAGAAGAACAACTAAAAATTGATAATATAGCAGCAATAAGATCTTTATGTCACATTATAGAGAGCAAGTTTTTAGCTTCTTATAGCCCCAATGAGAACGTAAATATTGATGAACAGTTGGTTGGATTTCGTGGCCGCTTTAGAGGGAAGATTTATATGCCATGGCCAGGCCATGGTGAACTCGAAAACATATTACTTGTGCAAATTTGAAGTAAACGCTGGAAAACAACCAGATGGAGAATATCAAATATCTAATTCTCCAGATGAGATTGTAAAACGTCTAGTAGAGCCAATAAAACGCAGCGGTCGAAACATAACGACTGACAATTGGTACACAAGTTCAAAACTGGCTAAGAAGTTACAAATGCCTGAATAAAAATTGACTCTTGTTGGGACATTGAATAAAAGGAGGCCTGACATTTTTTTCCAAACAAAAATAGACCTACATATAGTTCAGTTTTCGGATTTCACAATCAAATAACTATAGCCTCATATGTTCCTAAGCCAAAGAAAGCTGTTGTTTTACTTTCCACCAAGCAAAATGATAACGCCATTGATGAAACAACAGCCAGCGCTCGGAAACCAGAAATAATTACTTATTATAATAGTACCAAGTGTGGTGTCGATTGTAATGACCAACTTTGCAGCAATTATAATGTTGGAAGAAGAACAAAAAGATGGCCACTGGCTGTATTTTTTCATCTTGTAAACATATCTGGCATCAACGCATTTGTTATACACAAAGCGAATACTGATAAGACTATTTATTACATATGCAAGACGGATTTTTTTGAAGAAATTAGCGGTAGCTCTTTTGGAAGACCACCAAAAATGTCGCATATAACTACGTGATGTACCAACGACAATAAAGAAACGGCACCGTGAAGTTCATGATGTGAACGAGACTGTCCAACAATCGATGGCTAAGCGCGGGCGCTGTTCAGCATGATCTAGAAAGGACGACAAAAAAGTGTCAACAAAATGCTTCAAGTGTTGTAAATTTATTTGTCAGCAACACCCAAAGGTTAATGCGTCGGATGCAATACCGAAGAATCCGGGAATTAGACTGACTAATAATTATTTATAGAGTTGATCTCGGCCATGCCAAAAAATAGTTTAAGGTGTGGTTTAACATTTCTAATCATTTTTGTTAATTATAATGTTCCAGTAATATTTTTGTTTCTTAAAGTTAAGTTTATAAAAGAATTTTATTAATTACTATGAAAAACATTAAGTTTTATTCCTTTTAGGAACTATTGATTTTCGGGGTCACTCAAGACCCCATGCGCCTAATTGGGTGATTTTTCTAATGAGCCTAGTTAAGGGTTAAGACTATGTTTACTATACCGACATTGTGCATGCAAAATTTATAGAATTAAACTAGCTGAACCCGCGATTTCGTCCACGTGGAAAGTTGCCTTAGTAATTCCTTATTACATAAGCTATCTGCCAGTGAAAGTCCCGTCAAAATTGGTCTAACCGTTTCAGAGTTTAGCCGGAACAAACAGACAAAACATTTAAAAAACATTATTTTGGTATAGGTATGTACCGTGTATACTTACATGTGCATTTAGTAAGAAACGGTTAATTTGTATTTGTTAAAATGAAACTGTAAGATCCGTTCATTAATTCATCGGGAGTTCCCCGACCAAAGACTAAAGTTACCTATTGTCCGTGGAAGTATTCCAGGGTTGCCATAATAAGTAATAGAATATTTACTAATAATATTTACACTCGCGATCTGCTATAGGTTCCTGAGCCATCGAAGTAAAGTAGGTACTTTACTAACGTTTTAATCGATGGTTAATCGTCGATTATGAAATTATAATCGATAACAACTAATTAATTGAATAATCGGTTAAACGATTAATGGTAATCGATTCCGCACACCATTAGTTATAATGGTGATTAATTGCCACCACGGCAGGTAATCTCTATAGAAGAAAATACCAAATTTGTTACCATAGACAAACAACGGTAGTTTAGATTTTGACATTTCTTCCCTCCTTTCCCCGAACACCCTACACCCGCTTTCTTCTGTGTTTGTCGCGCCATTACCACAGATTATCAGTGTTGCCAATTTAACGACTTTGTCGCTAGATATAGCGACATTTCGTTTTCAACAGCGGCTTAAATGATGTGTCTAGCGACAAAAATAATCTAGCGACTATTCTAACGACTTCTAGAGTTTATATGGTTATAAATAAGTATTTTAATTATCTTCATAAAAAATTACAGCATCTTATCAGAGTAATATTTATAAAATTTCGGAACGCTGCCGTAAATTCTTATGCTTAAGCCGGGATCCCCCAATGCTGTACTTGTGGACGTACAACGGGGAATTCCGGACCCAGGCATGCCTTTTTAAGGTATTGTATATTTGAGTATTCATTCGTTGACGGAGTGTATTGTGCTCTCTAATAGAACAAAATTAGCGGTTGCTTATTAAATATCCTATTAGTCACGTAAATCCAAACATATGATAAGATTGTCAGTTATTGACTACGTTTGTTAAACAATGGAAATACCTGTAAAGAAAAAAAGTTACTCACAGAAGTATAGAAAAGAGTGGGAAGACAATCCAGACTTCAAAGACTGGTTCGCACCGGTTCAAGGAACTGATTTAAAAAGTATGTGTCGCTGGTGTCAAGCTTTTTTTTTTTGCCAAAATTAGTGATAAAAAAAAAACACTCGGCGTCTAAAAAACACAAATCAAAAGCGAAAATAATAACGAAACAAAAGCCTTTGCCACTGTTCCTGCCAGTTGATAAAATCAAGCCTTCGAGTAGAGCAGAAGCAGCCATGCCTCTATTTATTCCGTGATGACAGTAGAGCATCTGGGAGAGATGTGTAAGACACTCTTTTACGATTCTAAATGCGGTCATGATATAGATATACATAGAACTAAATGTTCCGAAATAATTAATGAAGTATTGGGACCACACTTCAAAGAATCGCTGAGGTTGGATATTGCTGACCAAAAATATAGCCTCATTCTAGATGAGTCAACTGACATCAGTGTCTCGAAAAACTTAGGAATAGCATTCAGATATTTCAGTAATTCACAAAATAAAGTTCTGTCTACATTTCTGGCATTAACGCCTATTCCACAAGCTGATGCAAACGTGCTTGCTGAAGCAATTATTATCACATTGAACGATAATAATTTAAAAATTAAAAATTCAGTTGGTATAGGTACTGACAATGCTTCGGTGATGACTGGTGTGAATAATGGCTTGTATCAAATTTTGAAAACAATGGGATGAATTGAAATTACATTTTTCGCTATGCAAGGTAAAGGAAAATTCTTACACAGCAGAACTCCTGCATGCTATGTTTGAAGATGGTAGTAATTTGCTATATATGACATATATTCAAAGCATACTAGGAGAAGTTCTAACAGCTTTTAAAGTATTTGAAAGTGAAAATGCTGATCCCACAAAATTGATGGAAACACTGACATTTTCATTGCGATCAATTTGTAACAGAGTCATTTACCCTACCACAAATATAAATGTACTTACTATGACAGTTTAAGATATTCACTTAAATCCCTATGCTATGCTTGGTTATGCATTTGAAAATAGTGCTCGAAAACTTAATTTGAATGAAGATGTCACTAATATAGTTAAACAAAAGTGCGTTGACTTTACAGTCAAGTTGATGAGGGAATTGCAAAGTAGGCTTCCTCCAAATATCGAAATATTGATAAAAATTAATAAATTATCCGTCAACGAAGTTTTGAGAACGAAGAATCATAATGATGACATTATAAGTTTGGCAAAAGAGTTAGGGGTTGATGATGTACAAAAATTGGAAAAAATTGATATACAGTGAAACAATATAAATTTTGTTAAGTGGCAAAACATTAATAGTACGCTAGATTTTTGGGCTGAAGTAAACCAATATAAAGATGCTGCCGACAAAAAACCATTCCAAGAATTATGTGATTTGGCATTAACTGTAATATCGTTACCTCATTCGAATGCGGAAATTGAAAGCTTCGAAACAGAACGTGTTTGAAGTCATTAAACTCTATTCTGATGATTAAATACTCTTTAAGAAGAACCAATAAAAGCTACTATAATTACGAAATACGAAATGTGCTAAAGAACATTGGGACCAATAAATCATATTCGTTTGCCAAACGTACATCGCAGCTTCAGCCATCAACTGCGGGTATTAATTCCAATTACAGAACGGATACATCAAGTATTCCAGATTATCTGATTATTAGCGATAGTTCTGATAATGAATAAACAAACTTTTTCATCTTTTTTTCTATTAAGTTTTTGACTTTTAAATTCTGATATATATATTTTTTGCTATATTTCATTATAGTATTGATTTGTTGATATTTTATTTGTTAAATAATTGTTTTTTCGTAATTTTTAATTGTTTTTATACCGATTACAAATAGTATTATAAGTAAAACAAATTATTTTCTTTTATACCAAAGACCAAAAAACTGTGCCCTCTTCTGCCGTGCGTAAAACGATACAGAATTAGAAGTACGTGACTAACTGTATTGCGCTGTTTTATCCGCACGCGCTCAGTCTTTTAGCGACTTCTAGCGACTTTTAATCTTTGTCCATAGCTAGCGACATCTTGCGACTTCTCAAACGTACGCTAACGACTTTTTGACATGTAGAGTTGGCAACGCTGCAGATTATATATTTTGCCATTACAGTTTAGATGTTGATTGAGTGAAGTTACGTCGAGGTTTTGTTACTCCGTGCTTATCCTCTCGCATTTTAAAACTGTGATATTCGAGTGTTTTTCATTATGAAAAATACGTGTTGTGTTCCTAATTGTGGAAGCAAACGCAGTGGTGTCAAACTGCATAAGTTTCCAAAAACTGATAGTAGAAGAAAGTGGGTGCAATGTATAAACAGTGAAAAACTGAAGAAACATAAAAGAATAGGGAAAATGCAAAAAAAAATTAAATGGCCTAAAATATTTTTTTCTCGAATACTTATTATCGTCATATTATAATGAAAAGGTTTATTTTTTATTTACTTATTATTTAAACCCCTAAAATAATAATCAAAAAGCGCAAAATAAGTGAGCGAAATTCAAACTTCCATAACGCGCCACCATTGGTCGAACGAAATGTGACGTCATCTGACACGACATTGCATTCATCAGCGTCGAAACTCATACGGTTTTAAAACATAAGTTTTTGTGAAAAAAATAAATAATTTAAACCTGTAATCTTGTGCTGATTGTAGTAAAGTTTAGTTTAGATTTGTAGCGAATCTAGGACGATGACTGAAGCTGGTTTTGTCAAAGCACAATCGGACAATCTACCGAAAATAGATGCATTTATGATGACAGCATATTTTGCATCAAATCCCGATTTTACGAGCGCAGAGATCAGAGGAGTGAAAGCTGCAAGGTAATTATTATTGTTTTTCATATACTTAAGACCATAATATAGATTTTTATCCATAAATGCACACAGCAGTTCACTTATAATACACCAAAACATAACCTATACATATCCAGTTGTCATTACTCTGAAACTCTTATTTTACGTCTATATATACATGTTTTATATTTGAAGTTCACCCAAGTAGTCCACCTTTGACTTTGTGTATCTGACATAAATATATAATGATTTAATGTTTATAAATTGATAACCTAATTTACGTGGGCTGTTTTCTTTGAGTGTTTATAAGTACTTGTCTATTTCAGATCTAAACGAGAATCTTACGGTGATTCAGCAGTTGGATACGGCCAAGTAAAACGAGATGGAGACATATGTGTTGTTAAGGCTCGGATTACACCTGAACATAATGTGCGACAAAAATGTTATGCTGTTATTTGCACCTGCAATGAAACAGAGGAAACTATTATCTCTGTTCAATGTGAAGATTGTGCTGCACATTTAGGTAATTAAGTTTTACTTGTTAAGCTTCAGTGACCTGCACTTAGGAACTTGATATTTTCTATTAACATTTAAGTCGATTTAATTCGTGTAGTAATTGTTTTGTTTTTTTTATTTCTCTTGTTTTAGGTGGATGTAAGCATGCTATAGCTTTTTTAGCATGGCTACATCGGCGCAGTAAAGATCCATCAACAACAAGCATCGAGTGTTATTGGAAAAAGTCGAAATTATCATCAATTGGTACTAGCCAGAAGTTTATTAAAGCCAAAAAAATGTATGAAAAACCTAAACATGAGCTCGTGCCAACATCTTTGAATACCGAAAGTTTTCTCACCGTAGTTAAAAATCATTGCACTTTGGTTGGTGATACAAAGAATCATTTGATGAGGTTTTATAGAGCGCCAAGCACTGTAGAAAAATTGTCAATGCACCATCTTCAATCTACAAGCAAAGCTACAAACCCTCCTGATTTTATAGAATATTGCAAACTAATAATGACTGTAGATGCATGCAAAGAAGCTGCAACAGCTACTTTGGAACAGAATGACTGCCCATTGTGGCACGAGTTGAGGTATGGAAGGATCACAGCTTCAAAAGCTTATGATGCTGCACATTGTAATACTTTTGATGGAACGTTAACGGAGACCATTTTGGGAGCAAGTAAATTGAGGGACACGGAGGCTATGAAAAGGGGTAGATTGTTGGAAAGCCAGGTTTTAAAGGAAGTAGAAAAAATTTGTAAAATAAAAATAAATAAATGTGGATTAAAGTTAAATAGTGAATATCCTATTATGGGTGCTTCTCCAGATGGTGAAAGTAGTGTGTATAGTATAGAAATAAAATGCCCAACATCAGAAAAAGCAATGGGACAATATGTCAGTTTAGGAAATAGCGTGACTGCCAAATACATGGCACAAGTGCAACTGCAGATGCATTTTTCTAATAAAGCAAAGGCACTATTTTGTGTTGCTCATCCAGATTTTGAAAAAACAAAAAAAAAATTCATTCTTAGAAGTCAACTACGACCAGCAACTTTGTGAAAATTTGTTAGAAAAATGCATCATTTTTTGGAATAAAGCCATCTTTCCTAAACTATGTTTAAATAGATAGATTTTTTTTGTTTATTGTATTTGTTAAGTACTGAATTTGTTTATATTTGATTTCTGTCTAATTATTGTCACCTGTTTTCTTTATGCTATGAAAATAAAACAAATGTAAATATATATTCATTTTTTTATTAAAACATCCTGCATATTTACCAATCCACTTAATTCCTATCATAGATGATGTAATTACTACTATTATTACATCATCTATGATAGGAATTAAGTTATAGTCTACACAAGCATGGGGAAGTAACATATGAAACTCTCTTAACCTATTTATTACCCGTTCAACATGTATTCTTAATGCTGCTATACGTTTTGATTGTTTCACATCATTTTTAGTACTGGGGGTAGACTTTGATACAGAAAGTGGTCGTATAAGGGTACATCTTTTAGCTTCTAGCAAACATGATAAGTCTTTAAAACCCCTGTCAGCCATCACTGCTTTATTAGGAGGTAAAACCTGTAAGTAACTACTATCTTGTACTATCATAACATCAGTAGCCCTACCACCATATCCATCAGAGATAAAATTGATCAAGCCATCAGGTGTACATGAAATTAAATACTTTAAGGTGTTACATTTTTTATACTGTGACCAAGTAAGTGATTGGTGAACGGCATTTGATGGTTTTTCAATCTGAATTTCTAGGCAATCAATAATGGACACGACATTTGCATACCTACACCTAAAAGATATGGGTAAATTTTTGTAAATATCTGATGATGCTGGCCACACAATCAAGTCCTTAAGTTTTGCTGCCATAAGAGAAATACTTCTAGAAAAAATTCTACAAATAGTACTTTGTGAACATCCAAACTGTTGTGCCAAGATGCTAAAGGACTCATTTAATTTAATTTTCTTGAGGGTTATTAATATGTGTTTACTAGGAAGCGGAATATTATCACTTAAAAAAATTATTAAATGATATGATTGTTTAGGTAATCCTAACAACATATTTGGCTCTTTTTCAATAGCAGTTAGCATGCTACTACACATTACATTTTTAAACTGTTTTTCGTCCTCTGAATCATTTTGCACTTCGCTTGACTCAGATTGATAACTTGGTTCATAATCAACAGAGGTCAAAGAAGAAAAAGATGACATAGAAATAGTATCCGCTGTGTTTTCAGTAAACAATTTTCTTTTTAAAACAGATAGTTTAACAGTTGAAGTTCCTATATTTCGTGATACAAGAGAAAATGGTGACAATGCTACATTTTGTTTTTCAATAGGTATATTCACATTGAAACCTTTACTTCTATAGTTCGGTTTAATATTCACTTGCACAGCTTTGTCACAATGCTATTTCTCCTCAATATGGGAAGTGACAAGCTCTACCTGAAAATCATCACATCCAATACGGGAAGGTCCTGGTTGATCACAGACATTTGTGTGGGAAGTACTTGGACTTGCTTCGTGATCAATTATTTGTGAAGGTTCGCTAACAACACTACTTTTAAAAGCTATCTCTGATGAAAGGGCTTCATTGACCAGTGTCAATCTTTGCCTTTTACAGCCAATGGGCGTTTTTCCATTACCCGGCCCGGCACCGGCACCGACGCCGGCGCCGGCGCCGTGCCGTTGCCGGGGAAGCAAAAATGTATGAAAATGTATGGCTCGCTTTTTTACTTACCGGCGCCGGCCCGGCATTGAGTCCTGCCGGCGCCGCCGCCGTCGCCGGAGTAGCAAGCTTCCCACCGGTGCCGTCCCGGCAAAATTGCATGTGTATTTAAAATTGCATGTGTATTTAAAATTGCATATGAATTGTAGCCGTGTGAGTGTGTAAGTGCGCGGGGCGGGTAGGAGGGCGCGGAGCGGAGGGACTCGTATTTGGTTTTTGGTTCGCTTACAGTGCGTACGCGTCAAGGTCATGGCGTTCAAATACGACATCGTGACTCTTATCGAGTTAGTGGAAGCCCGACCTTGTCTCTGGGACAAAACTAATGAAGCAAGTAAAAATAAAATATTACGAGAGAAATGCTGGCAGGAAGTTTTTGCGTTTCTCGAGACAGGATATGAAGAAATGTCGAAGGTTGAAAAGAAAAACACAGGTAAATTAAGTTATTGTTTTTATTAAGTTACAGCTGTGTTAATTACAATATAATTAAGGTATGGCTACTCACTAAATTTTAGATAATTGCCAAGGCAGCTGACCTGTCTCAGACATGAAATAGTTAGCAAAACACGTACGCACTCCTTTACCAGTTTTCTTTGTGGATTTTGTTTCATTACTTGGTAAATTTATTAGTTGAGATCCACTAGTAATGACCAAATCACTTTCCCGATAACCATCTCGTTTGCGAACAATGTTATGTAACATTACCGTCGCTTTCACGATATTTTTTGAAAAGTTTCTGGAAACATTCAATGGTCTATGTAATATCCTCCATTTGTTAATTAATATACCGAACGCACATTCTATTGAATATTATTATTTATAATAATAATATTATTATTATTTCAATTTGAAACTTCTGGTAACCAAACTCAATCAGTAACACGATTACATACCAGCAATAACTGCCGTTCGAGCTTTAACATCCTACAAATATGATAAAATGTGTCCAGCTTCTTGTTCCAATAAACATCACTATAAAACTTTATAAATAATATCCTGAGCTTCACTCTAATAAATTCTCTTCATTTTTAACACTTTTCGACGGAGTTTAGAAGAAGTAGCTTCAGTTTAATCAAAACAAATCAAAAATGCAGAAAATCGAGCTAAAAAATCAAGTTGTTGACAGTCGATGTACTTTGATTCAGTGTTGTCATACTTGTATCTAATGTTAGTTCCTCAAACATTCTTTTCATGACTTTATAGACAGACTGTACACGTTGGTCTCCGTCGATCGATATCGTTATTTCAATCGATAAGAATCGGTATGCCGTTTCAAATATAACATGTATTCGATGCAAGTGAAATTATGTCTTCCATCACTAAATTAAGATCGTGACGTCATGATACCTACACAAAATGTGGCACGCTCGGTCTCCATATAAATCGACGAACATGTTCCTTCTAACTAGATTTATTTCTGTGGATGCGCCCATGTCATGTCAGTGCTTTGGTATTTAGGTTGGTAATTTAACTGCCCCAGTTCAATTCCTAGACGATATTTTTGATGAATACACATACGAAAATGAATAACTCTCTTATGTCAAACATGTCCAAAACATTTCTTGTTTTCTTGTAAAACAGCAAGATCACTATATATATATAAATATGATACCCAGTAATTACACTGGCTGGCTTAATTAGAAGACTTAATTAATTAGAAGACAAAGTCAAAACATACAAACAGGTTTCAATAACATTACCTATTACTTGATGAATTTCAGCAGCTTATTTCTCATGAATCCGTTGAATTAGAGTAATTATTTTTTTTTGTAATTGAATCTAAGGCCAAAACCCTACAAAATGATGTAGGTTTCATCATGGCACAAAAAAAAAATTTGAAACGAAACTCCGTACATCATTGCCCATTCTCCTTTACATTTTTGTGGCATAGAAAAACTCACCGGGGTTTTACTAGCAACCATGTGAGTTACGTGGTAAGTATCGAGATATTAAATGTCTCCCAAGTCCAAGACCTCAGTTATTTATTTATAAAGGACTTGAAGCTCTTTGTATTTTGTGTATTATATATAAATTACAAAAAGCTACATTTAATACTTCGGAATTTTTTTATATGATTGGTAAATAGTGCCATTGTACTCTCTTCTTAGCTTAATATTTTATTTTCTTGATCCAGGGACTCACAGGAATTGAAAAAAAGTCAGCAAATCCATGTCTGTATCTGCTGAAGCTGTAGATTTTTCGACAGTCTTTTTGGATCTCGCCGAAACACTATTAAGGGTTAACTACGGGGTCCAGTCAAAGCCTCGTCTAACCATTTAAAATTTTGGCTAGAAGCTAAATATATTATAAAAGATTATAAAATTCGTTGATGCTGTCAGCAAAAAGGCAATTTCGAATGAAACTGAATATTTGGTCAGAGTTCCATCTTTAAATGGCTGCTTAACAACTATAGTAATTTTTAAAAGAATTTCCGAATTAATATTTGGAAAATATGAAATAAAGTTTTACTATCCAAGAAATTTAAAACAACACCCTCTTGAACATTTTTTTGGTAGAATAAGGGCACTTAATTGACGG